GTTATTGGACGAATTATCAGACATAATTAAAAATATTGTGGTTGAAAATTGATTATAAAAATTATATTTATTATATATTAAGAGAAAAAAAAACGTTAAATGCACGCACACACGTCTTACTCGGATATTACGTCAGTATATATTCAAAAAATGTTTGTAAGNAAGGCCGGTACTATGCATTATAAATGCATTTGTGTGTATGTGTGAGTTTATTTATTTATAGTATCATTTAAGTGTAGTGTATATTAATATACAAGGGATAGAGTAGGTAATTGATTTGACACTATATTGTTTAAACCCAACTAAACGCTAAATTGTACATTCCCAAACAACAATCATATTATGTCAATTGTCACCGGAATTTCTGGTAATCTTTTTCTTTTTCTTTGCCTTAATCCCAGCTACTTGGGGTCGGCCACTCTTATCCTAAACTTCCACTTGACACGATCTCCCACATCTTCTACGCTCACATCAGCTGTCCTCAAATCGCATTCAATAGCATCCCTCCATCTCTTTTTTGGTCTTCCTCTATCTCTTCTTCCTTCAACATTCATTTCTATAACTGTTCTTACAGCTTCCGATTCTTCTCTCCTCATAGCATGACTAAACAATCTAAAACAACACCTTTACNACAAACAGTTTTTATTGAAAATTATTGTATCAAGCCCTTTAAATTTTTATACACGTAAAAGTAAAGCAAAATATAACTTCTTTATTATTTTTATAATTTCTCCGTTTAAATTACAATATTAAATATCAATTTCATACTAAATTTAATAATTATAATTAGTATATATTAAAATATTATATTTTAAAATCAAAGAACTACTAATCATGATATAATTGAAAAAATAAGAGTTGATGTTGCTTTTGGAATAATCCACCAATTGCCTATTTAAAAAATAAAAAAAATTGGTTGGGAATTTTTTCTGCTATTCTCCAAAATTACTCCTTCGTTGACTAGAATGAATCATTAAATAAAAAATTTTATGAGAATTAAAACAATGTTATTTTTAAGATTAATATGCAGTCAGAAANTTAAAACAATGTTATTTTTAAGATTAATATGCAGTCAGGAAATTTTATAATTACTATTTGTTGTAAATTTATCAGAAAAACTCATTATTTTTTGCAATTTTATCGTAATAGAACACTTAAATAGAAATCATAATATCATTTCTAAGTAATTTTTGGTATTTAAAAAGATTAAAAGTTATGGTAATATATTCAATTTTTTTTACTATAAACTTTCATATATCTTTATCAAAAATTTTTCATCAACTATAAAGAACCAAAAAAATAGGTTAAAATTGAAAATTTGGACTGATTATTTTTAACATATTAAAAATCAAATCAGTAATAATTTGAAAACAAATTTTTTAATTATTTTTTATATGTAATTAGTAATAATATAAAATATTAGAACTAATAGATAAAGTCTAATTGCAGATTTAATAACAACGCGAAAATTTGATTTAGAAAAGTATATTTTTGCTTCTGATGAAAGTTCTTTGTAGTCCAGTGCATTTTTTTATAGTAACAAACAGTTTTTATTGAAAATTATTGTATCAAGCCCTTTAAATTTTTATACACGTAAAAGTAAAGCAAAATATAACTTCTTTATTATTTTTATAATTTCTCCGTTTAAATTACAATATTAAATATCAATTTCATACTAAATTTAATAATTATAATTAGTATATATTCATATATTATATTTTAAAATCAAAGAACTACTAATCATGATATAATTAAAGAAATAAAAGTTGATGATGCTTTTGGAATAATCCACCAAATTCCTACTTTAAAAAAAAAAATTTGGCTAGGAATTTTTTCTGTTATTTGCCAAAATTACTCCTTCGTTGACTAGAATAAATCATTAAATAGAAAATTTGATGAGAATTAAAACAATGTTATTTTTAAGATTAATATGCAGTCAGAAAGTTTTATAATTACTATTTATTGTAAATTTATCAGAAAAGTTCATTATTTTTTTGCATTTTTATGGTAATAGATAACTTAAATAGAAGTAATAGTAATAATTTCCTAGTAACTTTTGTTGTTTGAAGAAAAGATTCTATAATTGAAATATTGAGAACTTAATTAATTTTAATGATTTACTTTAACTAAATGAACCAATCAAAACAAAGTTGTTAAAAAGATTTACTCAATNCAAAGTTGTTACAAAGATTTATTCAATTGAGCGTATTATAAAATTTGATTATAATTGTAAAAATCCATTATTAATTCAGGAGAAATTAACAATCATTTATTTTTAGAAATGATTTATATAACATGTTAACAAAAAATTTGGAATATTATAGTCTAGTATATGCACACACAAATAGAGTAAAGTATTATGAAATTACAAAGTAAAATGATTTAATTTTGTAGTTGAAACCTATCATATCAAACTTGATTCGTTAATAAATATTTTGAAAACATTAGAAATGAATGATTTTAATTGTCTGTATGGAGAACATGGGATAAGTAACTGTTTAATTGATAAATTAGAATTTTTTTTTCAATTTTTGAGGGTAATATCTTCAACTAGATACGAATTGTAGTCATTGGACGTATCNGTTTAATTGATAAATTAGAATTTTTTTTTCAATTTTTGAGGGTAATATCTTCAACTAGATACGAATTGTAGTCATTTGACGTATTGTTGATAAAAGTAGGTCAAGTTAGAGCAAAGAAAATAAATGATAGTCACAAAAAAATATCTTCTCAGCTTTGCATCGAAGCTAAAACTTAAAATATAGTAAAATAATTTTAATACGAATAAGAAATTTCTTCTTACAAGGGGCGACTAAAGTGATGGGATCCTTGATCTTTATTGAAGTTATTGAATCTAAATGAGATAAAAATCAAACGAGTTAAAAATTTATACTAACTTAAAAAGAATTAAGAAAAAATGCAAAAAATTCATTGCCATACGCGGGTTGGAACCTCGTACCCCAAGCGTGTAAAAGATAAGTTTTACCAACTCGGCAACCGTACGTCGATGCCGTCAGTTGAAAAAATTGGCTATTTAAGCTAAATTAAATTTCAAAGTTATTTTTCTCGACTTAAAAGAAGCAAACAAATTTAAATAAGTTTAACTTTCTATGCTATATTAATTTTTTATTTATATAATATTTATGAAAATCTGTACTCCCCTTGTCAGGTATTTTAAAATAAAATAAAATACAAAACCCAGAATTTTAACACAAAAATAGCAAATTTTTGAATACGGTAGTCATTTTTACCATAAAGACAAATCCAGAGGTCAAATTCTTTTTTTTTTCAAATTAAAGTATATTACATAAGCTTTAATTTAAGATATATATAAAAGTGTCAGTATTTCCGGAATACTTTCAAAAATTAAATTGAAAATATCTTAGTAACAATATGTATGTTTAAAGTTTTGACCCCCCTTGTTAAAGGGATATGATCCGATTTACAAAAAAAGCGTGCCAGATGAAAGGGGAATATAAATATTTATTATAAAAAAATAATAATATTGATCCATACATTTTTCCAAAAGTTATATAAAATATAAATTAAATAATATAACATATAAAATCGAGATTTTTTTCACGGAAATCGTACGTTTTTCTTTAACTTTGATGTCCGTTTTCACAACGAAGACAAGTCCAGAGGTCAAATTTTTTTTTTCAAATTAAAGTATATTAAATAAAAGTCTTTCCGGAACATTTTCAAAAGTTAAGTTGAAAAAGTTCTACTTTCTATACGCATTTTAAAAGGTTTGCACCCTCCCTGTATAAAGGGAAATGGTCCGATTTTAAAAAAAAGTATGTCGAATNTAAAAGGTCCGATTTAAAAAAATAGTATGTTGAATGAAAGAGATATATATAAAGTATTTATTATTAAAAAATAGAATTGATTCATTCATTTTTTAAAAAGTTATAGCATCATAATGTTAAGAAATGTGAAATATAATATCAAGAATTTTTTTAAAAAAATAGCATATTTTTGCATAGGGTAGTCATTTTCACCACGAAGACAAGTCCAGAGGACAAATTTTTTTTTTTCAAATTAAAGTATTTTATATCAGCTTTAATTTAAGATATAAATAAAAGTGTCAGTCTTTCCGGAACATTTTCAAAAGTTAAGTTGAAAAAGTTAATTTTTTGTAAAAAAGTTACCATTTTGAGCACCCCCCCTGTATAAAGGGAAATGGTCCGATTTTAAAAAAAAGTATGTCGAATGAAAGAAGTATATATAAAGTATTTATCATTAAAGAATAAAGTTGATTCATGCATTTTTTAAAAAGTTATAGCAACATAATGTTAAAAAATGTAAAATATAATATCAAGAATTTTTTCACAAAAATAGCATATTTTTGCATACGGTAGTCATTTTCACCATGAAGACAAGTCCAGAGGTCAAATTTTTTTTTTTCAAATTAAAGTATATTACATTAGCTTTAATTTAAGGTATATATAAAATTGTCAGTCTTTCCGGAACATTTTCAAAAGTTAAGTTGAAAAAGTTAATTTTTTGTAAAAAAGTTACCATTTTGAAACCCTTCCTGTGGGCTGTTAAAGGGTCAAATGTTCACAAAAATATATAAAAAGATAGGTAAATATCTAAGGTATCTATAAAAAAAATATATATATTGATTGGGTTATTTTTAAAAAAGTTATGGCAATTTTAAGTAAAAAAAAATGAAAAAATATCGAAAATTAGCGATTTTTAAATTTGTAATTTTTTGGGGGATTTCCCCCGTTTACGGGGAACGAGGGAATTTTTTTCAATTTTTGAGGGTAATGTCTTCGACTAGATACGATTTGTGATCTTTTGACATATTGTTCATCAAAATCGGTCCAGTGAGAGCTAAGATTGAGATGTTCACAGACACAAAAAAATAAAAAAAAAAAAAAAAAAAAACATCATAGTAAAATTAATACCTTCTCAGCTTCGCATCGAAGCTAAAAAAACATAATAATAAAATTATGCTCTGTAATAGTATGAAATGTGTAAAATTTTCTTACATGAGTAGTATACACATTGACAATGAGGCCATTTATATTAATACAACATAATCCAATTCCTTTTCCACCAAACCAATCTCCATGAAACAACATATGTAAATAACCATTTAAAAGAAATGAATGGTAATGAATATCAATAATTGGGTAATGTGACATTATACACATTCCTGATCCTAACATTCCACTAGATAATAAATAAAAACATACACACGTATTTATATAAACAAACAGATAATTTTTGTATGATTACTCTAAAGTAATGCCATGCTGGTAATTCTAGGACACCCATAAAAATGCCGGTAAAAAAAAGTGTCTATAGTTTGGATCAATAAGTAATAGTAGATAAGCAATAATCTATTAAACCATAATTTTATGTTGTTTAAAAAATATTCTAAAACTAAGTACAATGGTTACATAATAATTTTCTTAGAATAAAAATGTTCAATATAAGGGTTTTAAAATTATTTTTACTATTTCACTGTTAAATTTTATTAAGATATATAGAATTCAGACCTTTATAATTAATATTAACTATAATTTTATTACTACTATACCAGTGTATAGCATAAAATGTAAACATTTTCAGGACTTATATTCATTATCTATTTTAATGAACTTTAATCTTAATCTTGTAGGGCACACCCCTACTCATCAATATTTTATCGTTATAGTCTGTAATTTTTCAATATACAGAGTGTCCCAGCTTGTTATGACAAATTCTATAATTCTTACATTTTTGATTAACTGAATATGTTTTGTTAATTTTTATTTTATCATAACTTTTCCAGGCTTATCATAGCAACCTCTCCCAAAGAAGAGGTTTTCTTAACGACTATTACTTAAGGATGGGTGGTTAGTCTATAACCAGAGAGGGGGATGGCAACTCTAATTACCAAATTGATCACTCGCTCAGCAAATGATGCCATCTGTGATCGAGTTTTGGACCCAAAGCAGTGTATTTGTAATATAGTTTATCATTTGTAAAGTTGGAAGTAGAACATTTTTGTAATGTTTGGATTGATTGTAATTTCCTGAATTATTGTTACTAGACCAGGAGTTAAATATTTATAAACATTTTTGAAAAAGATTGTATTATTAATTTTGTAAAAAGAAAAACAAAATATTTTAGTATATAAGACGAAATGGAATGAATTGTGGAGAAGAGAGAGGACCTCGGGAACACCGAAGGTAATCTCTTTTCACGCAGTACGTTTATAACATTAAATTTTCATTTTGTCTATTGTTTTATTGTGTTTTAAGTGTATCTTTATTTTGTTTGTTTTATATTGTTTAATTATATCTTTAATAATTACATTTGCGTTATTATTGAACTTTTATTACTTAAAGTTTTTTTTTTTTTTTAATACAACATGTGTTAAGCACTGCTGCATTATTGACTCAACCACACCATTTGTATCGTTTTGTTACTTAATTTATAAAAAACTTGTTTAAGTATAGAAATAAAATAATCTTATAACAAAACAGAAAAAGAAAAAAAACGATTTTTTGTTAAAATTACTCCATTTTTCAAATTTTTTTTCTTAGTAAAAGCACTTAGTCACAAGACTCACCCGTGATTGTTTTAAAATGTTGAGATTTTGAGAAAAAAAATGCTTGCCAGCATTTTAAGACTTAGAGTTTAGGGTTTTTTTTTTTTTAAATCCACTCACATATTTTGAATAGGTTATAGTTTCATTTTTATGCATATATATATATATATATATATATATAGACTCTGATTTTGTAGGTAATGAATTTTTTACTTTAGTTCATATTTAATACATGTTATAGTTGTCATATATGAATTGATTTGGTTAACTATATTTTTGTTTTTAAAATTATTTTAACATTTTAAGTTTGGTTTATTAATTATAAAGATACTCTTTGTCAATTTTTAATAATATGTTAATAATACAACATTTGTTGATATATTTAATCAAATTTATTTTTATATATATCTTTTGTTTGAACTTTGACTTTATAATCAACTTACTGCTGAAATGTACTTTTTCCACTTTGAACTTTTTTTTTATGTCCAGGCAAAGTTTATACTAGGATTCAATTTTACATTTGCACATAGCAATATATTTTGTATATTTTATCAAGAAATGTTTGATAAGTTATAAATCAAATTCAGCATGGTTATAAATATATAAATTTGTACATACATTATCAGAAAAGTACAGTATTAATAATTTTATTTATCTTATGTATAATACATAAATCTATGAGTTTATCATGAAAATTGGGATTCATCTATGACAACTATACTGTATAATGTCAAATAATAGTAACCAAAATTCTTATAAAAATTGACTTTCTTACATAGTCCCAGGAATAATAGCCTGCTGAATTTTTCTGTAATTATTCTATAATATTAATACGATTATTATAACTAGAATATTATTAATGATTGTGTATACCAGGGGCATATTTAAGGTGAATTTAGGTGATTTCCTCCCTTGAACCAGCTCTATGAATATTTTTTTAAGCCAACTTCTATGAAAAATAGCTCAAATGACCTTTATTTTGATTATCACTTTGATTTTTAGCAAATAAATTTCTATAGCATGTTTATCAAAGTAAAAAAATTTAAATATGCCCTTAGTGAATACCTCAGTAAAAAAACATCAACCCATACATTTTACTAATTTTTCTTTTTGAATTTTTATGATTTTATTAATTAAATTTTTAATACATTTTTGTTACACTGATACTGATGTAATATTTTTCGTACAAAACACTTATTGTACCTGGCATAGGCAGATACTCTTACTGGAATCAGTAGTTATAAGGCCGGCCCAAAAAGGCTTACGCGCCAAAGACACATGAGGCTTGTAGGGTCCCAGGTTTGGGGGAGAGCACCAGCTAGGCAAAGCCTAGTATGATAAAATATAAATACTATTAGACACAAGTAATAATTACTTAAAAAAAAATAACATATTTGTAAAATAACCATTTTTGTTAGGGTTATAGTAGCATAATAATATTATCAAGGTAATAGACACACAATACTAAATAGTTTTTTGTATTTAATAGTTATTGTTTCTTGAACTGTACTCTGAAAAAATTTTAAAAACCCTCCTAGTAAAAATAGTTAAAAACTTTAATAGTCAATTATAAGTTAGAATACAACATGTAATACAATCATAATAATATGATACTGATTAGGCCACCTAAGTTTCTAACCTTTTATTAAACGTTAAATTAACTAAATAAAGATTAGCATGGCCCCTGCGAAATTGTGCTTATCTGTAGTCTATGTAAAATTGTTATTGGGCATCGCCCATTTGAAATTATAATAAATAAATAAATAAATCAATTTAGATATACTTTAATATAAAAACATAATGTGATCAAACCTATTGAAGTAGTGTGAATGCTTGAATCTTTCTTTACAAGTATTTTTTAAATGTTCGAAATCGTCTTCACACCATAACTCTTGTAAGCACACAATATCATATTTATTATCAATAAGTACTTTAGCTAATTTTCTAATACGTATTGAGCGATTTTTTCCAAAATATTTCAGCCCCCTAATATAAAATAAAAAGTATACATACAAATACAAATTTATAAAAGAAAGCTTAAATTAAAGATATTACTTCCTTACCAAACGTTAAGTGTGAATACACTCAAATACATTTTGACTATAGACTAAATTAAAAGAAAAAATTATATAGTACATAAAGTGTTCTCTGGTTATCACAAAATTTTATTTTTCAATAGAAAACTTCTTTTTTTTAATATTTTATTAAATGTATTAATTGAATAAAGGAATAAAAGTTTAAACTAGAAACCTACTTAATAAAAACTCATTAACAACGTGATAATATTATTAAGTTATTGTTAACAAAATATTTGATAACAGAAATAGTTTTACAGCACGACTCAGGAAGATAACATCAGAACACCATAGACGCTCGCATAGTAAAATAAATAACGGAAAACGGATGTCAGAGTTGTTATGAGTGATCATTGAGAATTAATCACTTGTACAAAATATGTAACAGATTCCGTAGAGGGGTCAGTTGTGTTCTAAGGAGTACAATAACAGATAAATTCAAATAGCACGCCTAATGCGTGTCGACAGTTTCACAGAATGTGGTATGGGTAGTATATTGTTTGCACGAGGGACACTCGTTTCGACCACCGTCGAGTCGGACGAATAATTGTAGTCACCTAGTATGATACGATTACTCAGTTCAAGTAATCCGATAAATATTTAATATTTAGGTAAAGTAGTAGTAGGGAAAATGAATATTCCAATATTCGCCAAATAAATAAATATACTTTATTTTAACTTGTTAACTGAAAATAATATGTAAGACTTGTTAGATCAATCTAAATAATGAAACCAGCATTTTTATTCATAACAGTTTATTACAGAAAAAACATGAATTCTTAAAAACGTTCTAACTACTCTTCTTTTTAAAACAATAACAGCCTATTACCAATGATAATATATAATGCTAAACAGTGTAGCCACCTTACAAATACAAGAATGAATTTATTATTCAAACAAAATGAATATAAATCAGAGTTAGGTTTTAAGAGTAGACACTCTCAAATAGTATGGTATGGGTTCTAAAATTGGATTTTTAGGTTTTGATTTTCGTCCCTGGTATTGCATTATTGAAATTATTGTTTTTTAAAAATCTCTAAAACAAAAATTATTGGTTTTAATAATGATGTTTTCTGTAAAATTATTGCCTATTACTAAATCCTAAACTTCCATTTGATTATTATTGCTAATCAATTTGCCGAAGTACCTAAATCAGCTTTTGATTTCCTTTTCCTCATTTCTTAATTACATCATTTTTATGAAATAAACTAGTTAAATATATACGTTGCTATTTGAAATATAAAGTTGACACCCCTATAAGTATAAGGGATGATTCAAAAAAGTAATTATTAGTTGATAAAACAAGAAATATATCTTCTTCTTTTTCATAGCTGATCTTACTGCAGTCATACCTGTTGAATGGAATAGGTTATGTAATTAAAAGATTTAGAAATTATTTGTAATATAATAGTATTTAATATAAAATGTTAAAACATATAATATAAGAGATGTACAACGGCAACGGGTCACTTTACTCGATAGACGGTGAAACTACGACTAAACTCTAAACATGTATACAATAGGCTGCATTGAGTAAAACAACATAATCGTAAAAGGAATGTGTCCCTTTGACCTTGTACTATACTAACATAAGTAAAAATACATTAAACTGTTATCTTAAATAATATTACTGTACCCAGTGTGTTGTTTAATAATATCAACAATAACCCTCACCTATTTACCACCTTGATTTCTCTTGCTTCCACTTAGTTTCCTGCTTACAACAAATATTAACTTTGTTAACATTAACTAGAACGGAAATGTGATCTCTTTTATTTAATCTTTTAATAAAGGATTGCTCAAAGTATACTTTGTAGCGTTGGTACCATGTTACCTACCTTCATCCCCGTGATTAACAACATTTAGAAAAAGTAGGTTATATTATCTTTTTGTTACACATGTAATGATCTCGTTACCTTTTTTAACTTTTAAAATAAAAGCAGGTATATTTAATAAATATTTTGTGATGTTCTTTAGTTTTAATAAAAATAAATAATATAAATAGCCACAAGTGGTGACCACGACGAGACGTTCTTTTTTTTTACGTTTTTAAGATTACAAATTACATTTTTAATTATGACTGACGAAATTTCCAGTCCCAAAAGCAGGGGCGTCATTTCAATTTTTATTTTTTGGGTGTGCAAGATTTCAAGTAGGCCAATTTAAAATTTCATCAGGCCATATAAAAATAGATATGCCTACTTAAGTAAATAAAAAAACCCAACCCAGCACAGTGGGGTCCTAGCATAGTTGGGACAAGTAAAACTGATATCTGACAGTGATTGAAATCACTATCATAAGAAACGCTTCTATGCAAATCTGTAGATAGTATTTATTTTTAAGAAATTGTTGGATTATTCCAAAAGTAAAATAAACTCTTATTTTTTGTTCTACATTGACTCTCATTTGCACATAAAAAATAGGTTGTTACAATTGAGTTCTGCAACTATACAGTCAGTATAGTTGCAGCCACCGACTAGCAACCATCACTCTGAAGATGGACTCTGCAATGAGTCCGAAACGTCAGAACTCAACTGTAAACATGGATATATCCTCAAGCACTTCAAGCAACAAAACAATCCATGAAAGTTTTAACACATTCATAGGTTGTTACAATTTTTTTTTTTTTTTTTAACTTTTAATACATTTTAATACATAAAACAAGCTTTATTTTAACATATATTTAAAAATCGCAGTATTCCGGAACATTTTAAAAAGTTAAGTTGAAAAAGTTCTATTTTTTATACAAAATTTAAAGTCACTTTTCTTAACTTTGAGGAGGTAAAATAATCAAAATAAGTTTATATTTATATTTAATGTGGAATGAGGGACTAGTAGATTTATTAGTGAGAAAGAGGTATTGGAGGCTGTGGCATCAATGAAAAAGAATAAAGCAGTAGGACCAGATAAAGTTCCAGTAGAACTATGGAAAATATCAGGTGGTATTGGCATAAAGTGGTTGAAGGATTTTTTTAATAAAATCTTATTAGAAAAAAAATTCCAAAGTAATGGAGGAATAGTATTGTGGTGATGATATTTAAAGGTAAAGGAGACATACAGGAATGTGATATGGGGCGGCTCATGTGAGTATAGATGATGTGGGAAGTCGTGTCAAGTGGAAGTTTTGGATAAGAGTACTCGACCCCAGGTAGTTGGAATTAAGGCGAGGAAAAAGAAGAAGAAGAATATTTATATTAAATGTTCGTTGGATTTATGCAACTTTTATAAAAATTGTTGGACTCATTACTATGGCAAACCCTTATAAGATATTTTAAAATAAACAAAAAAATAGCATATATTTTAACTACAGCAGCCATTTGGATAAAGAAGACAGGTCATCGGGACAATTTTTTTTTTTTTAATTTTTAGTATGTAACAAGTTTAATTAGAAATATGTTTATAGACGCAGTATTTCTGGAACATTTTTCAAACTTAAGTTGAAAAGTTGAGTTTTGTAAAAAAAGTTGTTATTTTGAATCCCCCCTTTGTGGGAAGGTAAAGGGTTAGATTATCATAAAATTGATATACAATGTAAAGAAAATACGTAAGGTGTTTATATAAAAAAAAATGCGGTGACTACCGTACTCTTAATAACCAAACAGTACCAGACAGTTATCCAGTCCCACATATACATGATGTATCATCCATGCTCCAAGGCACGGCTTGTTTTTCTAAAATTGATTTAAAAAAAGCATATTATCAAATTCCGGTAGCTCCTGAAGATATTAAAAAAGCAGTTAGTGAGTAGTGAGTACTCCTTTCGGATTATTTGAATTTATTTGTATGCCATTTGGATTACGTAATGTTGGTCAAACATTCCATAGATTGATGTACAGAGCACTGAATGGATTGGATTTTTGTTTTTATTTGATTTTCGATTTGAAACTTATGGATTGTTATTAAATGTTACAAAATGTGTATTTGGTGTTGAACAAATCGACTTTTTAGGGTACAGTATCTGTAGCTCAGGCACTACACCACTACCTCAGATAGTTTAAGCCATTTTTGACTATAAGAAACCAAGAACAGTTAAAGAACTAAGAAAATTTTTAGGTATGATCAATTTTTACAGACATTTCTTACCAAACATTTCAAATACCAATATTAAATTACTAAAAAGCAAATAAAAAAAATGACAAAACTGAAATTCAGTGAAATGAAGAAACAGAAAATGCTTTCCAGAATTGTAAAATATCTTTAACACAAGCCACCTTATTAGCTCATCCTAAAAGTGCAGCCAAATTATTTTTAAAGGTTGACGCTTCAAATTGTGCTGTTGGAGGTGTTTTAGAACAAGAAGAGGATAAAATTTGGAAGCCATTTGCATTTTTCTCAAAAAAAAAAATAAGTGCCACCTAACAAAAATTTAGCACCAATGATAAAGAGCTGCTTGTTATATACCTAGCAGTTAAGCATTTCAAACATATGTTGCAAGCTAGCAATATTTACAATATGGACTGATCACAAACCTATAGTGTATGCATTTAACCAAAAGTTAGACAAATGTTCATCTAGACAATTTAGGCATTTAGATTTCATTGCACAATTTATTAATCACATCAGACATATTTCTGTAAAAGAAAATATCACTACTGATTTTCTCTCTAGAATTGAACAAATAAATGTGAAAACAATTAACTATAAAGAAATTGCAAAAGTACAGGAAGAAGATTCTGAATTACAAAATTTTCTTAAGGAGAACACTAGTATGAAACTAAACAAAATAACTTTTCCTGGATCAAATTCTTCCTTAATATGTGATACATCAATTGATTTAATTCGACCATACATTCCAGTTACTCATCGTAGACAAGTGTTTAACATTATTCATGGACTATCCCACCCTGGAGTCAAAGCAACTACACACTTAATTAAAAGTAAATTAATTTAGCCAAACGTAAATAAAAATATTTCATTGTGGATAAAAACATGTATACCATGCCAACAGTCAAAAATTACAAGACATGTTATAAGTGCTCCAGAAATTTTTCCAACACTTAGTGAACGTTTCCAAAATATACATATTGATTTGATTGGACCCCTCCCACCTTGCAAAGATATTGTTATTGTTTGACATGTGTCGAAAGATACACTAGATGGTCAGAGGCATATCCTATACATAGGAAAAGGGGAGAAAAAAGTTTCCATCGACAGACTAAAGCCAGCTTACATAGAACATCCAACTCAGCAGCCAATCACCCAGATACAACCCTCTCAGTTACAAATATTTTCCCAAAAGAACCAAATAA